GGGCGACACCAGCCTACCCTTTTCGGGCATCTTGCCCCTGAGGTGGCATTAGCTGTTTGCTAGGCCCCTTGGAGCCCCGACCCAAGAGGGAGAGCACAGACGGAGAGCGTTGTCCAGACTTCGGGGATGAGCTTTAGTGGGCAACAGACCGCTTCATCCGAAGCAGAGTTGCTGGTGCCTAGTCCAGTGGTCTCCAACCTTGGCCACTTTAAGACCAGTGGACTTCAACTCCCAGAATTCCTCAGCCAGCTTTGTGGCCAAGGTTGGAGACCACTGGGCTGAGGAACTCTGGGAGTTGAACCGGTCTGTTGCCCACTAAAGCTCATCCCCGAAGTCTGGACAACGCTCTCCGTCTGTGCTCTCCCTCTTGGGTCGGGGCTCCAAGGGGCCTAGCAAACAGCTAATGCCACCGCAGGGGCAAGATGCCCGAAAAGGGTAGGCTGGTGTCGCCCCACACAGGCCCCGCTTTTCCATTAGGGTCCTTTCCCTTGATATCAGCCCAGCTACTGGGCACTAATCCGAACCTGGTGCAAGCTCAACACCATCCCGGCCGAGGCATCCTTCTTCCCCTCCTGCCATTTTCTCCAGCCGAAGAACCGCGGCCCTTGGCTCGGCCTTCTGCTCTTACTCCCGGTTCAACGCGTTTCTCGCTCTCCCGCTCCCCTTCGGCGGGGGAAACCTCTTTACCTTTTGAGGTACCGAGCATCCTCCCCCTGCATAGCGGCGACGGTCAACCGGAAAGGCGGCAAGGGAAGGAGAGGGCGGCGGCCAGCGAAGGCGAGAGAGGGACCGGCTGGGCTGGGTTCCGTTACCAAGGGAGAAAAAAAAAAAAAGCGAGCCGTGGTGCGCAGGCGCAAGTCGCAACACGATGCGCAGGCGCAGAGGGTTTCTAGAGAGAACGCTGCTTGGGAAAGTAGAACCTGTAACATTGGCTGCTGTTTGCAAAAGTGGCGCTTTCGTAAATGAACTTCAACAACTTGAAAGCTTTTAGTTTTTGATCGTGGCTAGGCTCATTAAAGATGCTGGCTATTAAAGATACAGTACAGATTTGTGACTTTTCAAAGTCCAGCATCCTTTGGCTTTCATAATTTAGCGGCAATAGTGAATTGGATTTTCATTTATATTGCATGCTTAAATGTGTTATGTCTACACTTCTACCCTTAGAGATTTAAGTTTTGTCTTAAATTCAGTGTTTGACATTTTCCACGTCCAAACTCTAAAAGACAGTTGGTTTTAGGTAGAAGAGCATTTCCTGAGATAGACGAATTATCTGCTTTTTAATTCATTTATACTGTACTGTGAAATGTAAACACAGGGCTTAGAGAAAGAGTATATTAGAGAAATAACAGAAGGACTACAGAGACATGATAGCATTGTTCCAAATATTTGAGGGACTCCTACAAAAACAAGGGGATCAAACTATTTTCCAAAGTACTAATGAAAGAAATGTCCTCCTGGGTTCGGCTCCAAGTGGGTAAGAAAACACAGGAGACATGGAGGCTGCTTAGAAAGATGGTTTATTGTTGGACAGGGCCACATGGCTTGAG